CAACATTCCCGGCCAATCTCAGTACTGTCACAGCGGTGGCAGGATGGGACTGACCAAGTCGGAGGGAGCTGATGGAGTGGGGAAACCGAGGCCCAGAGAGCTTGTGAGTATTAGATCATCAGGCACTACCCTTCATTCCATTTCATTTGATTTGTCTGTGCGTCCTTCTGTGAAAGGATGGGAGTGCCAAAACCAACAAGCAAAGAAACAGAGGAAATGGAATTATCAGTCTGCATACAACTGGAGGAAAGCGGGAAGAATCACAGAGCTGCTACCTCCCCGTCTGAGCTGTGAAGGAGAAGTGGTAGTGCCCTTCCCTCAGCGATGTCTTTCGTTCTTCCCGTTGTTTAGTGTTTCCTTTGTTTTTGTTTTGTCTTTTCCTCTGCTTTTCCCAGGCAGAGTCCTGAACTTTCTTCCTGCTGCAGCATTTTTCACTCTTTTTGAGGAACATGGCCCAATACAAGAAACCAATGGCTTCCTTTTTCCTTTTAGAGGGACCTTGTCTGCAGATACATTTTTATGAAAATGTCAAAACCGTAAGAGCAGGGCTGCTCAGGTTGGAGTAAGGATGGGCATCGCGAGCACTGCCTGGTTGGCTGATTGGTCTCCTCAGAGAGGAGTTTTAAACCTACTGCTTGGGTCCTTTCTGTGATTTGCTTTCTCTTAATCAACATCTACCAGTGTTAAGTCTCATTTTTCTTGGTCCAATAGGCGATGATTTGCTTGTCTTATCAAATCACCACATTATCAATTTATTCAGACAGTGTAATGGAGGTCATAAACCATGACTGGGGATCCTAGTCAAGAGCATTTGTATTTTAAGTAAGACTTTATAAAGATGGTACCTCAAACAAAAGCAGTCATTTCATTTGTGCGAATATTTCACTAGACTGTATTTCCAGAACCTTTAAAGAATGGTCACCTCCTCTACAGGTAGGGCACACACAAAAAGTCAGATCTCCTCATTCACTTCTATAAAAGCTGCCTTTAGAGTGGTACTTGAATGAAACGTGGCATAATAAAAGAGATAAACTCCTTTATTTCTTCTAGAGAATCTTTGTCCCTGGGTAACTATGAAATAATAACTTGAAGATAGTAGGAGCATGGATTTCAGATAGGAACAAGGCAATGCTCTTTGCTTTGGGTCCAATATTTCGGGCAGGTTTATCTCTCATATACGGTTGTTTTGTGGTCGACTGCTCCACACATCTCCTAGGGACTCTCTAGTTTCTTAAAATCATGCTAATGGATGTCACTCTCCCTTGCTCATCTTGGCAAGCTCCTGTAAACACTGAGTCCAGAACTGGTTTGGGGTTTGGTTCTCCACCGATAACTCCCTCGTTGTCCACAGGGGGGCAGGGCATACCATACTGCTCAGTGGTTCCTATTGCCTTCTATGTGGGGGAAAGATCCAGCAGAGGACAGAAAGCCCAGGGGAAGCAGTCCTGGTGCCTATGCAGGCCTCAGTTCAGCTCAAGAACCTCTCAGCCTTTTTTAAAGGTTCTTCATAGTTGAAACTATTCAAGAACTTATAAGAGAATCAAAGACTGGACTGAAAACTTAAATTCTATATCCTAGTTCAAATTCTCAAAGTGCGAGAAGATCTGAAAGCATATGTTCACTTGTAGTTTTTTCTCTGTGTCTTTATTTGTAACACAGGCATGTGTGCACGCACATGCGCGCGTGCACACACACACACACACACAGAGCAAAGTCCTTGGCAAGGCCTCGTTAACATTGGGGTGAATTCCTATTTGAAACATTTCCGTGAGGGAGGAAGAGATGAGGCTTTACACATTGCCATGGCTCATTGTCACAATATCGGAAATATTTAAGTCAGAAAGCCTTGCTGCCCCGTTCCGACTGGACTACTGACCAGAATTTGGGCCTTGGGCCCAGCCGCTGAAGTTTGTTTGCTCACCTGCGAAGCGAGTGGCTCAGCCCGTCAGGCAAAGGGCAGTGCGCTTTCCTTGCAGAGACCAGAGGCTGATAGCCATGAAAGGGAGGAGTATCTGCCCTAGGGGCATCCTGGATGCCCGGACAGACCACATCCTTTGTGGTCCCTGTCCCAGTGTCATTTACACTAGCACATGGCTCTGTCTAGTGTGCAGAGATCCCCAGCCACAGCAAATAGGCTCATTACTTTGTTTCCTGTTTACCGATAACTTGTAGCTGATAATGATTGCTGCGAGCTAAATGAAGAAAAAACACGCTGGGCCACAGCTGCGGGAAGGAAACATTCGTATTGGACGGACACTCTGAAACCATGAATCATCATTAACCAGACTCCATCCTGATAGAAATTAAAACACTGATAACACAAACCACAAGTGTTCATTTCCCCGAGGGAAGGGATGGAGAGAGACCACAAGGAGGAAGGCTCTCCTAGATGACATTGGGGAGGCAGATGAACGGAGCCAGAAGGCTGGGCCATGTGCATCTCAGGGGTGACAGGTAGACAGAAGGGGAAAGGTTGCTTGTGCTGGTGAGCAAGGAGTTCTGAGCCTGTGGTTAGGCAGAGATGGCCTGTGTGGGCTGGGAGGGGGTGGTGAAGACTCACAGAGAGGGGCACAGGGGCACAGTGGAGAGATGTTAAGGACAATGGACTTGGCAGTAATACAAAACCAAACCAAAAAAACCAAACAAACAAAAAAAGAAAGAAAGAGAGAAAGAAAGAAAGAAAGAAAGAAAGAAAGAGAAAAGAAGGGCCAGCAGACATGCTTTGGGCATCGTATTAAGTGACAAGGGCAGGACCCAGAATGGTATCTATCCCTGGATAGCAAGGATAGGGAAGCGATGTGCTTGACAAATAAAGAAGGAATGGAAGCAAACCCACAAAGATCAAAACATTTTGATTTGGTGACTTGTTGGAGTAGTAAGAATCTGAGAAACAATTTTGTCCCATTTCAGTTCCATTTCCTTTTATGTTGTTAATTTAGGAAATAATAAACAATTTTAAAGCAAAAAAAAAAAGAGCACCTTTGAGTGTAAGATCAGAACCTGCCAATCATGAAATCAAAACTAGGGGGTATACATGGGATTGGGATAGTTCCACTGGGGCATCCGTGGAGGAAAGGAGGAAGACAGCAGCCAGCACAGACTCTGGAGCAGTGTGATCTTGGGCCTCTGTTTCCCTACCTGTAAAATAGGGATAGTACAACACTTATAAGACTGTTTTGAAGATTAAGTGAAATAATGTATGTAAAGGGCTTACAACCCTGCCAATACACAAGTTCTCTTAGGTGTTTGCCATGACCTGGTGTAGGCCTAGTGTCTAAGACAGAAGGCATAGCCTAGACATTAAGGAATTTAAGCCATGAAGAGAGCAGGGACAGGGAACTTCCTTCCCTTGCAGTCAGGTGAGTGGACCCTGCAGGGACAGGAAAAGGGCAGAGAAAAGCAAAAGTAAGAGGGAAGGGGGTAGAAGACTGGGAACACACACGCATGAAAAGCAGTGTGGGAGGAAATCATCTGAGATCAAATAAAACCATAAAGAAAAAAAAAAGGCAAGAATGAGGGATACTGGGTGGGTGATAGATTCTTCTATGCTGGAATGGGAACCCTCGATTTAGGGGCAGAGCCCTGGGCTTTGTCAGGGCTGAATATCCTCTTGGCTGAGTGTCCTTGGAAAAGTCATCTATCCTCTGTCTCATTTTTTAAATCTGCGAAGGTGAAAACAGTAAGGCCAACTTCACAGAGCTGTAGGGAGAGGAAAGGAGAGCATTTTATGGTTGGTGGCTGGACACCCAATAAACAAGGAGACTCCACGTCTATAGCATTCCAGGGCACAGAGCACTGTGGAAGAGAAGCAGCCCTCCGCCTTGACTTCCAGCGCTCAGGCCCAGGAATGAGCGAGACAGTGGGCGGGGAAGACACGCACGGGGAATCTGGGGACAGATAAAGGAAACTCGTGATGGGGCGAGGCTGGGCTGAAGAGAAACAGATTGGGGAAGAGCTGCAAAGGGAGGGGTCCACCGAAAGAGGAGGGGGAGGCCGCAGAGGGAGAGGGTGGGAAGGCAGAGATGGGAGGGCAGTGCGAGAAGAAAAGCAGGCTGGGGAAAGAAGGATTGGAATGCAGAAGGAACCTTGGGAAGGAGAAAGTACTGAAGGCGGGAGGGAAAGAAGAGAGGGAAAATGGGGATGCCGTGGAGGCGGGGGCCAGGCCGCGAGAGGAAGGAAGACCCCGGGAGCCGACCGAAGAGAAAAGCGGCTAAAGCCAGAGTCAGAAGAGGCTGGGGATTGCGCGAGAAGAGAGGCTGGGGCCTGCAGTAGAGTGCGGCAGCTTTTAGCATCCATCCAGACACCAAAGACTCGTGGCCTTTGCCTGACCTCGAGGGTCGGGAACAGACGCCCTGTCTTTGTGGAGAGCGGTACCCCACCGAGAGAATGGGGCTGTTCTGGGCTGGGCCCTGCGCCTGGGACGTCGCGAGGCTTCGCTGGCCCCGGGCTGGCCCTTGAAGGCAGCGAACGGCCGGCCTGGAGGCTGGGGCCGAGGAAAGAAGGTACCACCACCACCCGGAGCCAGAGCGCAGTCGGCTGCAGAGGCGCCCGCCGGGAGCCGTCTCTGGGGGGGACGCCGCCGCCGCTTCCCTCCTCCCGGGGCCGCACGCTCCCGGGACAGGGGAGGCGACCGGCGAGGACCTAGGGCCCGCGCGGCGTCCCGAGGCGGGGGGGTGGGGGGAGGGAACCGAGCTTCGGACAGTGCTAGGGGGACTCTGGCGCTGTGGATGCTCCTGGCCTCCTCGCCGCCCCGCGGCCGCGCTCGCCTTCCCCCGCCGGGCGGTCCCGGCCAGCTGTGCTCACGCAGCCCGGCAAACCCCCGCGCGTCCCGCGGGGGCGCTGCGTCTCCCAGCCACACCGACACACCACGGCCCCTCTCCCCTACACCTCCTGGCCGCACCACCGGCCTCTCCGCCCACCCTCCGCTCCCCTCCTCTCCTCGCCTCTCCCCTCCCCTCCCCTCCCCTCCCGGCGAGGGGCGGGAGGGGGCGTGGCAGGGCCGGAGTTTGTGTGGCTGGGACCCGGCTCCCTGCACTCGGAGTCCGCGCGAGGAGCCGGGCCCCGGCCGCTGTCCAGCCGCTCCGCGCCCCTCGCGCCCTGTGCTGCCGCCTCTCTGGGAGACGCTGCCAGTCGCTCGCCATGGATACTCCTAGAGTCCTGCTGTCGGCCGTCTTCCTCATCAGTTTCCTGTGGGATTTGCCCGGTTTCCAGCAGGCTTCCATCTCATCCTCCTCGTCATCCGCGGAGCTGGGCTCCTCCAAGGGAACGAGAAGCCGCAAGGAAGGGAAGATGCCGCGGGCGCCACGAGACAGTACCACGGTCCGGGCGCCCCTGGAGCGCCAAGAGCCACTACCGCGGCCACAGGATGAATCCCGGCGGCGGCTACCGCAGGAGCCCCAAGCGCAGGAGCCTCCTGGCAGGGGCCCGCGCGTGGTGCCCCACGAGTACATGCTGTCAATCTACAGGACTTACTCCATCGCCGAGAAGCTGGGCATTAACGCCAGCTTTTTCCAGTCTTCCAAGTCGGCTAATACGATCACTAGCTTTGTAGACAGGGGACTAGGTAAGTGGCAAAGAAGATGCCCCACTCCTCTCTCCCTGGAGCTCCTCAGCCGCGGCGCTGCTCCTGCTCTGGCAGGAGGTTACATTCGAGAATTCCCTTCCCGCTCTGGACTCCTCGCCCTTTCTTTTCTTAAATTGTTTTTCTCCAGCCCAATAAGTTTCTGAATGCGGCTGCACATTTTATTCCAGTTTGCAATCTTCCCTTCCTCGCTTCCTTCCTCCCCTCCCTTCCTTTCTCTCTTCCTTCCTTCTTTCTCTTGTCTTTTGCAGAAAGCAGCGCGGTGGCCGCTCGTCTGGTGGCTGGTGGAGGAAGCGTGGAGGACGGGAGGTGGCAGGCAAATGACTGGGTCTGGAGAGGGGACGCGGCGGGGACTGACCGCACACTTGCCACGGGGGTCTCGGGTTGTGCGCGGTGCGCGGTACAAGGCCCGAGTTACCGTGGCGGACCGGGGCGGAACCGCGCGGGGCGAGTGACCCTTTGAAAGCCCGGAGTTCCCATCCGCTCGGGGCGTGGGGAGGGGGTGGGAGAAGAGGGGAAGCCGGCAGTTGCAAGTCCCGCGGTCTGAGGAACGAGTCCGCGAACGGCGTCTGGCTATGCCCTGACCCAGCCGCTGCACTGGTTCCCAGCTCCTCCCTGCGCTGGATGTGGGGATCATCAGCCCGGCCGGAGTCCCGCGCCCTGGGGCGCTTTTTGCTCCTGCAGCGCGCTCACCGCAGCTCTGAGGAGGCAACCGAGTAATTTCTGCTAAGGCAGCGGCAGCAACTGGCAGGGCGGGGCAGGGACAGGGGCAGGGCAACTAAGTTTAAGGATTTGTTGGTACTTAATCCATATGGGTGCGTGGATATGCTCATCCACCTTTCCCAGCCAGGCGTCGCCCCTCTCTCTGAGCTTCTCCCAGGGGCCCTGTCCCTGGTCCCCTCTGAGGGCGTGGGTGCGAGCCTCGGTGCCCGCGGAAACTCCTGCACTCGCTCCTTGCCACCCGCCTTGGATCGCGTGGTGAATGCCTTCGAGAGACCCTCGCGCTCCCCTTGGTCCCAGAAACTGAGGAGGGATGCACAGGCAGGAGGAACTCCGTTCCTAAAGAGGGGAGACAATAATGTGGAAGGAGACAGGAAAGGAAGAGAGAAAAAGGAAAGAAAAGGGAAAGGGGAGGAAGGGGACGTGAAGAAAGGAAGGAGGAAATTAAAAAAAAAAAAAATTAAGGCAGCTGTCCACCATCCTGCCCAGACTTAGGTTCTGGGCTTTGACTAGTTCCCCGCCTCCCACTTCCAGGTCAGTGAAAGTGGGGTCGCTGGAAACCCGCGAGCTCCAGGGTTCAGGAGGACAGGGCTGGTCCCTCCCCGCCTGTCTTGAGTACACTCTAGCCCTCGGACCTCTTCGGAGGACGCTAACTGCCCCTAAACTCCGGGCTCTTCCAGGGCTTCAGACCCCAGCCTCCACCACCTTCCTTGCGGGCCAGGGTTCCAGCCCACGCTGTGTCCGCCGCTGCAGCCGAGGTCAGCGAGGTTCATGAGCTGCTGAAAGGTCCGTGCGGCAAATTAACGCCTGCTATTTTATGGTGATTTTAGGACTCCTAAAGTCACCTCTGCAGATACTCATGGCTTCTTCGTAGCGCTGCAGCTGCATCCCCAACCTCCATACAGCCAGCGCAGCTCGACCATCCCTCCCACTCCCCAAGCACAGTCTCTGTCCTGCCTCGGTTGTCTCCCTCCCTCCAAATCCTGTTTACCGTCCCCCTTATAGTCAAAGTCTAGTCTAAGACTACCCTACACATCCCTAGTGGAGGGACTAAGGAAGCTCAGAGAAAACTTCTCAAGAGGCCTTTTCCCAGGGGAGGAAATCCCGGAGGCCCAGGCTGGTGGGCCGTTGGGCGCAAGTTTTCTTTTCCCCCAAAGGAAGTGGCAAGAATCTCCGCCCCTCCCCCCAAGCAAGCACCCCCTAACTCGTAAGCTTCGCCCTGCGAGTTTGGCACGGGACCAAGAGACCCTGCAGGCTGTTGGGAGGTGTCTACGGAAGCCTGAGGTGTGCAGGCAGGAGAGGGAGGTTGGGGGGGGGGGGGGGTTCAGGTCCTGCGCAGACGCGGGCTCGCTTCACCCTTGTCGGCCCTGCAACCTCTCCCTGGGCACCGCGCTGGGCATCCCTGGGCGCCGGAGGTGGGGAAAGGGACTGGCTGCGAGCCCAGGCCCAGGGAGCCTCTGTTCCCGAGCCAAGGTTTCCAGGCTAGCCCGACCAAGAACCAGACGTCGGCTTCAACTCTGGTACGCGGTCCCCAGCCGGAGGAGACACGGAGTGACCACTTGGACCGCAGCTTCGAAGGCACGGTCTCCTCCACGCTCTCAGGTTCCCAGACAACGCGAAGGGCAGTTAGTTGACTGGGAAGGCTGCGCGGCTCGCCGCACGCCGCTCGGGGGTGAAGGAGTGCGGAGCCCAGAGCAGGAGGGAGCGCGCAGAGGAGGGGGTTGTGTTGCGGGCTACAGCGCCAGCTTGATAAAGGGAAAGCCTCACTTTCCCTCTCACTGATTTTGATTTGATGTGTCACCGGCGGTGACCTCGGGCTGGACCTTCCGGGGCTTGCTTAGCATCGGGCCCCTGATTGGAGTGTTTCAACTCAGCGATCTAATTGAGGGTTCATGTCATAACACATCAAACGGTGTCTAGTCTCCCGTGATGGAAGGGACCCGCCAGCCGCGCATCCCCGGCTCCTGGCGAGGACTTCCGCCCCTCTCACGTGGGGACTCTGAACCGCGCCAAACCCGCCTACGTCCCCTCCCCCACCCAGTGGATGGCGGGGCAAGGAGGAAAGAGCAGAGGCCAGCCGAGAGCTGGGCCAGCCGCGCTAACTTGGCGCCTTGCCTCGGGGATGTTTAAATCGCCATCCAGGGCGGCAGGCTTGACTTGGCGGAGCAGGGGACCCTCAAGGGGGAGGAGCAAAGAAAATGGAAGGAATCCTGAAGCCGGTTCAGGAGGCATGAACTCCGTACTCACGTACAGTATTTGTAAAAAGCCTTCCTCACCCGGGAGCCCCGGAACCTCAAAAGTTGCCCCTCAGGCTTGCGATTAAGAGTGGGCGGGCAGGGCTAAAAATCAATCGGAAGTGAATGAACAGCGCTTTGGGTCCATAAAGATAGCACGTCCTCTATAACCTCACCCTTGCCACCTTCTCCCCGCCTGACACCTCCCCCCGCCCCCGCCAACACACTGCCATTGGGGAGACTTTAATGCAAGTTTTATTTTTTAAATGTCCCTCCTTTCGATTTGCTCTTCAAACATCCAGGGGTGATACTAACCAACATATATTGAGCATTTACTGCATACCAAGTACTGTGCTAAAATCTGTTACCTGAATTATTTCATTTAATTCTAACAACCACCCCTGGGGAAAGCACTGTTTTACAGGTGAATTAAGGAAGACAAAGAGGTTAATAAGCAAGTTGCTGAAAGTCACACAGAGGGGCAAAGCACATATCCAGTTCTAGATCTTGCATGCTTAACTATGGCACTACACCGGTAGGGTAAAGGGCGAGGAAGCAGAAGTTTGAAAAAGGAGGGGGAGGGCAGATTTCCCACCCGGTCTAATATTCTTCTATATTTTCTTAAGACCCAGTTTGGAGTTGGAGCGGAACTTCGGATTGGAGGGTCGGAATCCATGTTGCGCTTTGCTTCCTCTTTGTGCTCTCTGTGAAGGCACATGCTATCCCGATCTTTAAATATTCCTCCATATTGTGCTTTTCAAAGGATTTTGAATCCATAGAGATAGAAAGTATGTGCAGGTGTGTGTGGGTGCAGTTATAAGATCAGAATAGATCAGGTTGGATATAGAGAAATTACAGTTAGCACATCAAAAGGCCACTAGTACTGGAGCCCTAAGTCCCCAACTCTGGGGCCTGGGAAAGGCAGACAATTGGAACTTCTGTGAATTCAACGTGGCTGAGAGAAAGAGGGGGAGAGAAAGAGAGAAATAAACCTCCGACTCTCCCTGTCCGGAGTGAGAAGTGATACATAATTCCAACAAGGGGTGGAGGGAACCTCCCCCTTGGTTTTGGAAGAAACCAAAATGAGTCTAAGAATACTGCTCTGAGTTCAGTTTTCAGATGATTTGGAAATAATAAGACTCCTAATTTTTTTTTCTCTGTTTACTGTTGTTGTTAGAATAGCCTATTCAGAAAGGAGGCAGTAGGGAAGAGATAAAAACCAAACACGAGATGAGAACATCCTTGAGGAACTTGACACCCTAGAAATGAATCACTGGAAAGTTTGCCATGGCTGATTGTTGGCTTCTTGGTTTACCTTCTGGGTCGTGGTTATCTGGGAGCAGGGCAGGACAGTTGGGCTAGCCCGTGCTGTGGGGAGGATATTCTAAGAGCTGCAGAGTCGCCTCGCGATTGAAGTTCGTTTGGAAAAGCATGTTTATGCAAAAGAGCGAGTTTCTGGGTGGACCTGGGCCGCAGAGTGGCGTAATCTACGCAGCAGTGCTTTTGCCCCGACCCTGTTGTCGTTGGCAAACGGAAAATGAAATATAAGCAGGGAAGTATTTTAATGGGGACGGAGGGAATTCACAACTGTTAATTATTTGGTGACCTTGTATTCGATTTGTTTGAGTCCCTTATAAAAACACTAATGCAGACCAGACGGCCAAGTGAGGAAGCCGGCAGAAGGTTCCAATCTAGGCTTTATTTCCCCGGAAAGAAGGAACAGCCTTGGAAAAGGATTGCTGAGCATTCAAGTGTGCGTGTGAGAGCGCGCCCGCGTGCGCGCCGGCGTGGGGTTTGCAGTGCTGTCCCGGTTCATGATCTTCCATCGGGCGGGTAGACTGGAAGGTCCTGGAAAAAGGCCTGGGGCGAGGGAAGGAAACCTTAAGGAAGAATTTTGTTCTTCTCTTCGGGTTGGAATGATTAAAACATTTTAAAGGCCACAAACCAGAAACGCCTTAGCCATTGTCTTGTTCAATATCGGTTACTGTCACCCCCATCCCTAAGGCCTTAAGGGTTGCTTACAAGACT